TGCTGAAGCAGCAAAGCTGAACTGCTAACAGGTCAGGGGGCAAGAGGAACAGCCTGGGTATGAATTGGGGTTTGCTGTTGCCACCTCTCCTGCTTTGTGGGCAGATGTTAAGGTACCGGGGGGGGTGTGGAGAGACTCTCCGGGTTCCAACTGGGCAACCTTGGAAACGGGGATGTGGATTCCTTCCCAGTAGGGGATGCCACGACTTTCCTGGAGCTCTGTCCAAAGCAGCGGTATGCCCGCTTACCAAAAGTGTTCTTTGTGGATTTCATCTATACTGGGATTCTGCAAGTACCCGATTATTGCCCATCTGAGCCGTAGAACTCACAGGCGGCGTGCCCTTGTATGGGGCTTCAAATAAGCTATCATCTTGCCCGAGAACCATGGGAAGTGTAGTTTTTTTTCCGCGAGCGCGCCCTGTGGATTGTCTAATACATACATGTGACGGCTCTTATAAAGCTACAGTGTTGGAGAGAGAGAGAGAGAAGCCCGCAGGAATTAAAAAACGGGGTCAGGTCTGTAATGCCGCTCCTATGGCCAGGATTCAAGGGCTTAAAACTTTTTTGTATGACATATACTCACGAGTCAGAGCGAGTTTGCCGAAGTGTCTAGAAACGAAGAATCCAGTACAAATCTCTTACAGGGGCTCTCTTCATGTATTTCTCTCCCCACCCCCACCCCTGGTATGGTTTGTTGTGTTTTTTAAAAAAAATAAATATTCTAAAAGGGCTAAGCTGCTCTTGTGTTCCTGTATTAAGAGAACAAAAAGGAGCTACTAGTGATTCTCAAGATCATCATTTATGGGAAACAGAAAGCAGAATCTCACAGCTCTGTCAATGGGAGCCCTTCTCGAGAGGGGATTTGTTTTACATCGTGTTCCCCAAATTGGCACACGAAGCCATTTTATACCGTCAGGCTCTCAATCCGTCAGTGTCAGTATTGCCAACTTGGACTGGCAGCGGCTCTCCAGGGTCTCGGGCAAAGGTCTTTCACATCGCCCATTGCCTGGTTCCTTTTTAGCTGGAGGTAGCGGGGACCGAACTTGGGGCCTTTGGCATACCGAACAGCTGTTCCACCACCGAGCCATGACCCCAGAGAAGAATATTTGGATATTTTGACGGGGACCTACATGAACACACGAAGCTGCCTTGTACCGAATCTGACCACTGGTCCATCATCACCAGTATTGTGTCTGCAGACTGAAAGGGGCTCTCCGTGGTCACGTGCAGTGTTCCCTCTAAGCTGAGTTAGTGTGAGCCAGCTCACAGTTTTTTAGCCTCCGGCTCACACCTTTTTGTCTTCGCTCAGGAAGGATGGCTCCAGAGCCAACTCATTGATGCAGTAGCCAAATGGCTCGCTCACCACCTTAATGCCAGTAGCCCACAAAGTAGAATTTTTGCTCACGAGGCAACACGGCTTAGAGGGAGCATTGGTCACGTGACCTGGTCTTTTAACTGGAAACGCCAGGGATTGAACTCGGGGCCTTCGACACGTCAAGCAGATGCCCTGCCTCCGAGCCACAGCCAGGATTTCAGCACAAGGCGGCCGATGTGCATCAGTAGATGAGAACTGCTTTCGATAGTGAGTCGTGACCCAATGCTCCCTCTAAGCTGCGGAGTCCCTTCGATAGTGAGTCGTCGTGACCCAATGCTCCTTCTAAGCTGCGGAGTCCTGCGAGCAAAAATTCTACTTTGTGAGCTACCAGCATTAAAGTTGTGAGCAAGCAATTTGACTGCTGCATAAATTAGTTTGCTCTGGAGCCCTCCTTCCAGAGCCAAGACAAAAATGTGTGAGCCAGAGGATAAAAAACTGTGAGCTCGCTCACATTAAGCTGAGAGGGAACACTGGTCTGGACCAATGTTCCCTCTAAGGTTTGGAGTCTTGTGAGCGAAAATTCTACTTTGTGAGCTACCAGCATTAAAGTTGTGAGCAAGCAATTTGACTGCTGCATAAATTAGTTTGCTCTGGAGCCCTCCTTCCAGAGCCAAGACAAAAATGTGTGAGCCGGAGGCTAAAAAACTGTGAGCCCGCTCACACTAACTCAGCTGAGAGGGAACACTGGTCTGGACCTACCTAACCCAGTATCCTGTTCCCGCTGGCAGCCAGTTGCTTCAAGAAGCACAACACCACATCCCAAACTTCATCCCCGGCCCCCAGTCTGGCTTTTGGGAATAGACTTTCTCTAAAGCCCTACACTCCATGAACAGGTCTGCAAAGTCAGTATATCCGAGAAACTCTTATTTCCTTCCGGGGGGGATTTATTGTCCAAGAAAAGTAAGATGAAACTCCGGACTCCCCAATGGAGTCCTCGACAGCATCAGACAGGCCATGGATCCCTTCTGCTGTCTGTTCGGCCGTCCCTACAACCCGTCTTGCGGGCAAGGGAGTCTGTGCTGGCGAGTGTGAGGGAGGGGAGGGGTGCTTTGACAAATGTAAAAAGAAGGGGAATAGCGCCTGGATGAGTAAAATCTCCCAAGTTTGGGTTTGTATCCTAGAAAACAGGAGGAATACAGCAAAGTGGACAGGAGGCCGAGCTGGTACAAGACTGGCCTCTGACTTGGGAGGTGGGGGGACCGGCCCCAGAAGGCCTCGAGTTTAAACAGCTGCAAGCAAGGAAATGGGCTACAGGCAGAACATTACAAATTAATACTCAGTTACCGTATGACATTGTGTGTCGTATAGCTAGGAGATCCTAAGATTGCCTAGCAGCTGGAAGTTCAAGCTCTTTAGCGTTGCATACCACTAGGTGGCGAGCTAGACTTGTTTTTTTAGGCAAGAGATGATTCAGAGGTGGTTTGCTGTTGCCCGCCTCTGCGTCTCGGCCCCGGTATTCCTTGGAGGCTGCCCTCCCGATTCCTAACCACGGCCGACCCTGCTTAGCTTCCGAGATCTGGATAGCCTGTGCTATCCAGGTCAAGTTAACAGAGCAGTGCAAAAGAAAAGGGAGCCCGCCCGATTCGTCAAGAACAATCTGCACGGTGGAAACAGCTTTCTGGGCTCCCGGCATCTGCACGGTGATACGACGGCCCCACCGCACTGGAAAGACGTGCACCTGAATGGCAAAACGAAACGCCCTCAGAGCCAGAACTACCAGTCTGCGTGTATATAACCAGCAGGCTGTGCCGCTCGTGGCCCAGATATTAAACCGAAAACAAAAAAGAAAACACTGGATTCAAGAGGTTACATAAATTACGTGTGTTTTGCAAAAGTTATTCTGCTTCGGTTAGACATGGAACGGGCAGGCTTCGGTTGTGCAGAATCGCTCTTCTGGCCTCTGATGCGGTCCAGGAATTCCAAATATGTTTCCTTTTTTCAGGCTTACCTTTGCCTTCACAAGGGCTTGAAGCCTTTTTTGTCCCTTAAAACAGGCATGTTAGATCAGACAGGGCTTCCAGTCACACAGGGCCAGAGCGATATACCATAGCTCGCTACTGTGTTTTTCAGCCTCCCATTTTGGGAATCACATGATTTAAGCCCCACCCCAGTTCACAAAACACCGGGTAGGCTGCAGTACATAACTGACGTTCAGAACATTGGCAAGGGCAGGTCTCCCAACTACAAGGAGAGAGATTCCAAAGGGGTTCTTATTACAGTTGTTGTGCACATGTGCAAATGAAAAAGCCACAAAATACATACCGCCCCAGCACTGGACAGTTCATCTCTCCCCCTGTGCAAAGCAAAGACAGAATTCTGCTTTCTTGTGATGCTAAAAATTGGGGTGAGGGTGGGGAGTCAAAGTGTCATTTCCCAAAACGGATTTCGTAAGGAACGGATTTCTGTGTGGGAGAGTGGGACCTCGGTGTTATGTACGATTCCTCGACACGAGCTGAAAGGAGACAGGTCCAAGCGAAATAAACCCGACGTACAAGGTCGCAGACGTTATTCAGGTCGCAGAATACGTTCTTCCTTGCTGCAGAATTGGAGTGACTCTTAGTAAAGAACTCGGATCGTTTGTCAGTGGACTGTACACAAGTGGGTCTGAGGAGCGCTTCGACTTGGGAGGGCCGGGAGAAGCAAACAGCACCACGGGCCGAGAGGCTGTGAGTCAACAGAGGGGCGTCTCCACGTAATTCCAAATCCCTCCCTCGTCATGTTCAGCTACATACAAAATGATCCCACCGCAGCCACCAAGTGTTCAAACTCCAACCACCCTCCTCCCTCCCGTTGTCCAGTCCCCGAAAGCTCTGCCCTAAGGCCTCTCCCCGTTGCTGTGGCCCTTGTTTTGGGACAAGTCACTCTCCGCCTCGGCGTCCTCGTGCACCCGCTGGTGGAGCGTGAGGTTGCGGAGCTGCCGGAAGCTCTTGCTGCAGCGCATGCACGGGTAGGGACGTCCCGCCGCGGCGGCCGCGTGGATCTGCTGATGGGCGGCCAGCTTGGACGGATAGCAGAAGCTCTTCCCGCAGCGGGTGCAGGGGTAAGGGCGCTGCCCCGTGTGCGTGCGGCGGTGGGCGGCCAGCTTGGAGGGGTAGCAGAAGCTCTTGGGGCAGTCGGCACATTTGTAGGGGCGCTCCGGGGTGTGGATCCACTGGTGGGCGGCCAGCTTGGAGCGGTGTCCAAAGCGCTTGGGGCACAGGGTGCAGGGGTACGGCCGCTCGCCCGTGTGGGTTCGGCGGTGGGCGGCCAGCTTGGAAGGGTAGCTGAAGCTCTTGGGGCAATCGGGACATTTGTAGGGGCGCTCGGCGCAGTGGGTCCACTGGTGGGTGGCCAGCTTGGAGCGGTACACGAAGCGCTTGCCGCAGTCTTTGCACTGGTACGGGCGCTCCGAGGGGAGCACGGCGGGGGGCCGGGGGCGGCGAGGGCGGGCAGGCTTGGGGGGCTCCGTGGTGGGAGGCGAAGACAGGGCCGTGGGCGGAGGCGCCTTGGCGTTCTCCTTCAAGGCTTGTGGGTCTGAAAGGAAAGGAGAAATTCAAAAGGGGAAGTACTTTTACGGGGAAACCTCTTCCCTGCTTCCACACACACACCCCCGGCCACTAGATGATTGTTCCCCTGCCACCCAATGACCACTTTCCTCCAAATTCCTTGTTGCCTCGCCCTTCTTAGCTCAACCATATTTCGGATGTCCACACGACACTGCCTTCCGAGTCAGGTCTTTCGAGAGAAGTATCTCCCGCTCTGACCGGAAGCGGCTTTCCAGAGTCTCAAGCTAGAAGTCTTTCACCCTGGCGGCTGCCCTCTCATTTTATCCAGAGAGGCCGGGGCTTGAACCGCCCACCTTCTGCATGCAAAGCAGATGATCTACCCCGTTGGACAGCAGACTGCATCTCCTTCCTGCCCTAGTCCCTCCCCCACCATTCCACTGCAAACATGTGCGCGGCACAGTCCTGCCCAGGAAGAGGTGTAGCCGGGACACCCTGCTTGCTGAAACCGATCCTCTTTACCCGCACTGTCGCTGCTCAGCGGGTTGGTGGCCATGCCATTCTTGCCGTTGTTGCTCACGCAGGGCTGGTCTCCCCTTTCCAGCATCAGGACCAGGCTCGGTCTAGCGAGTAAGTAACCTGCACAAACAGGAGAGGTTTGCAATATTATACGCAGCAGTTGATCGAACCGGTAAGATACAGGAGAAGGAACGAAATCGGCTTTGATGAACTGCCTGTACCCTGGCCTGTAGCTACAGTGAGGCTATTGGAAACTCCGCCCCCTTCCTTAAAGGGCCCCCGCTTCTCCCCAAAAGCATTTAAAAGGATCCTTTAAATGCTTTTGAGAAGAAGCGGGGGGGGGGGTTTGCACGCCCCCCCCTCCCTCCCCTCCTGCAAGATTTAAAGGGTCCTTCCGCTGACCTGCAGGCTACCTGCTCCTCACTGATCGGCTTAAGGGCCCTATAAATTTGCAAGAGGGGAGGGAGAGGGGTGCGCGCCACCCCCCTTCATTACAAATAACGGCAGCCCCGCTAGGGAAAAAAAATTGCCCCACAAGCCACAAAATCCTGGCTACAGGCCTGCCTGTACACCCCCCCCCCCAGTAACGAAAAACAGAAATTGCGTTTGAAGAACTTAAATTCTGAAAGATCTATGTGTTAAGCAGCTATATATCAGGAGAAATGTCCTAACTGTAAGAGTGGTTGAGCAGCGGAACAGACTGCCTCGGGAGGTGGTGGATGCTCCTTCGCTGGATATTTTCAAGCGGAGGCTGGACGACCATCTTTCGGGTATGCTGCAGGGCTGTCTTTTGGCTGTGCGCCTGCAGAGTGCAGGGGGTTGGACTAGATGACCTGCAAGGTCCCTTCCAGCTCTAACATTCTATGATTCTAAGGTGAGGAAAACGTGCACATTCCAGCCAAGTAGGGAGCAGATAGACAGAAAACGTGGCCCTCAGCTGAGCCTGGAGTGCTGTGGGTCTCCAGTTAAAGGAACTCAGGAGAAAAGAAAGACCTCTCTAGGCCTAAATTTTGCCGAACGGATGAACCGATGGGGTAAGACAGATAGTTGCAAGGAAACCTATGTCACCAGTCTCAGGAGGTTCCAGAGGTGCTGCTGCTACCTTTGCACGTCTGTCTTTGCAGACATAAGGACTAGAAGCTTGCTTTTTTACATATCTGTACCTCTGTGAAGGTTTTCAGATATTAGGCACCAGAGAATCCACACTGTTTCAGTGCTGGTGGGGAATACACCCAGCCCTGAGCAGGGGACAGGAAAGTAGGGAAGCGTACATGAAACCAGGCAGGTTTCTATACAGCCATGGCCGAGTCACCTGTGGCAAACAAGGGTTGTCTCCCAGTGACTAGCTTTAAAAAAAAAAAAGCTTTACGAAAGTTGTCTCTCTCTCTCTCGGCCACATCTTAGGATGTGAGTGAGCGGCAGGGGTCATTTCTTGCGGGAGCGCACAGGAGCGGAGCTCCGGCAGTAAGGAGCCCAGGGGGCGGGCACATGCAACAAGCCCCACCCCCTGCTCCCAGCAGCCCTCAGTCAGGCCACGAGGAGCAAGAAGCAGCCAGATAGGTTGCAGAGCCCCCACCCCGGCCTGCCTTCAGGTACAAGCTCTCTCTCCTCTGTGAGGGCAGATCTGTGTGTTTTCCCCATAGCTAGCAATCCAAAACAGTCCAGTGGCATCTCTAAGACTGAGTTTTATTCAGGTACAAGCTCTCCCTCCTCTGTTAGGGCAGATCTGCACGTCCCCCACCCCCAATAGCTAGCAATCCAAAACAGTCCAGTGGCATCTCTAAGACTGAGTTTTATTCAGGTACAAGCTCTCCCTCCTCTGTTAGGGCAGATCTGCACGTCCCCCACCCCCAATAGCTAGCAATCCAAAACAGTCCAGTGGCATCTCTAAGACTGAGTTTTATTCAGGTACAAGCTCTCCCTCCTCTGTTAGGGCAGATCTGCACGTCCCCCACCCCCAATAGCTAGCAATCCAAAACAGTCCAGTGGCATCTCTAAGACTGAGTTTTATTCAGGTACAAGCTCTCCCTCCTCTGTTAGGGCAGATCTGCACGTCCCCCACCCCCAATAGCTAGCAATCCAAAACAGTCCAGTGGCAACACTTCGGTGGGAAGGTAACAGCGTTCCGTGCGCCTTGGTGTTTAGTCATGCCGGCCACATGACCACGGAAACGTCTTCGGACAGCGCTGGCTCTTCGGCTTTGAAACGGAGATGAGCACCACAACCCTAGAGTCGGATTCGACTGGCTTTCGAGCAAGGGAACCTTTACCTTTACTTTAATGAGCTCCTGCACCTCTTTTTCTACGAAATGACCCCTGGTTAGCGGACAGGTGAGGGAGCTGTGTGGGCATTCGAAAGGCTGGCTGAAGAGACCCCGGACGCAGCCTGCCCCCATTTCCCCCTTGGCTTCTGGTCTGCTGTAAGGCCCCGGGATCCAATTACTGTTCAATGCTGCTCTTGCACAACTTGGAATCCGTGTGTGGTTGCTATGGCAACTGGCTCCGAAGACAGGCCAGAGAGGAGGCCGAAGGGCTTAGGCCGGCCAGAGAGGCGCCCTTCCGAGTGAGGGGCGGCAGGCAGACGGACACCGGGCGGCTCAACGGGGACAGGGCTGGATCCCTTCCGCGTCCCGTGCCCAGCGCCAGCGTTCAGTGCCAAGTCTCAAAACTCAAATACGTGCCCAAAAGCTGAAGGCATCAGCCCCTTTACACTTGGGGGAGGGAGGCTCAGATCGAAGGGTGGGGCTGGAGCTTCAGTATTTTTCCTCTGGAAGGAGATTACAGCAGGGATGGCCAAACTGCGACCCAAAACCCACTTATTTATCGCAAAGTGCCAACACGGGCAATTTAACCTGAATACCAAGGTTTTACTTTAGAAAAAACAACCCATACGTTAACTTAAGATGATCCAAACAAAGTAAGGAAAGCAATCCCAAATGCTTTCATTTACTTAAAATGATTTGGCAGAGAATTTGACACTTTAAGGATGGTCTGGGCCTGGCTGGGGCGATGGCATGCATGCCCGCAGAGAGGGCTCTGAGGGCCACCTCTGGCCCCCGTGCCATAGGTTCGCCACCACTGTATTACAGCGTCGAAGGGAGGGGACAGCAATCGCCTCAGCATTCTCGGCCTCGCTGGCAGCAGAGAGGAATTTCTTCAAACGGGGCCACAGCAGCCAGCCCATGCTCTGTATGGATTTTTAAATTATACCCGGAGTCGCTCTCTGTCTTTTTGGGGTACCTCTTTGGAGTGCTGCATTGGGGGGGGGCTGGAAGGCATGCTACCGGCACGGGGGGGAGGGGCTGCAAAAGCCAGCCAGGGCTCTACGCTTGAAAATGAATGAAAGGGGGCGAAAGCACACTCTAAAGGGGAGACGGCCAGATCCGTAGGCCATTTTGGTGGGTCTGGCGTGGCTGGTGCTAGAATTCAGTGCCCCTAGCTTCAATACACAGGGGTCTGTCAGTGGCTGCTAGCTGGGCTGACTGATGGGAACCTCCACGTTCAGAGGCTATATATCTCTGAATCCCGGTGCCAGGAGACAACATCAGGGGAAGGCGTCGGCCTCTCTGCTCTGTTGTTGGCCCTCCAGAGGAACTGGTTGGCCACCGTGAGATGGCCCGCTGGTCGAACCCAGCAAGCCTCTTCTTATGTTCTTACCAGGGGAAGGCCTTGGCCTCCATGCCCTATTGTTGGCCCTCCAGAGGAACTGGTTGGCCGCTGTGTGAGACAGGATGCTGGACTAGATGGACCACTGGTCTGATCTAGCGGGGTTCTTCTTAGGTTCTTATGAAGGCCTCAGCCTCTATGCCCTGTGGTTGGCCCTCCAGAGGAACTGGTTGGCCACCGTGTGAGACAGGATGCTGGAATAGATGGACCACTGGTCGGATCCAGCGGGGTTCTTCTTAGGTTCTTATGAAGGCCTCCGCCTCCTCTATGCCCTGTGGTTGGCCCTCCAGAGGAACTGGTTGGCTGCTGCGTGAGACAGCATGCTGTACTAGATGGACTATTGGTCTGATCCAGCAGGGCTCTTCTTAGGTTCTTATGAAGGCCCTGGCCTCTACGCCCTGTTGCTGGACCTCCAGAGGAACTGGTTGGCCACTGTGTGGGACAGTCTTGGACTAGAGGGACCACTGGTCTGATCCAGTAGGTCTCTTCTTCAGTGTTCCCTCTAAGCTGAGTTAGTGTGAGCTAGCTCACAACTTTTTAGCCTCCGGCTCACACATTTTTGTCTTAACTCAGGAAGGATGGCTCCAGAGCAGACTAATTTATGCAGTAGCCAAATCGCCCGCTCACAACTTTCATGCTAGTAGCTCACAAAGTAGAATTTTTGCTCACAAGACTCCACAGCTTAGAGGGAACATTGCGTCTTCTTGTGTTCTTATGATGACCACAGCCTCCATGCCCTGTTGGACCTGCAGAGGAACTGGTTGGCTGCTGGGTGAGACCGGATGCTGGATGAGATGGACCACTGGTCTGATCCAGCAAAGCTCTTCTTACGTTCTTATGAAAGCCTTGGCTTCTCTGCCCTGTTCTCGGCTGTCCAGAGGAACTGGTTGGCCACTGTGTGAGAAATAGGATGGTGGACTAGATGGACCACTGGTCTGATCCAGCCGGGCCTTTCCTATGTTTTTATGAAGGCCTCGGCCTCTATACCCTGCTGCTGGACCTCCAGAGGAACTGGTTGGCCAATGTGTGGGACAGGATGCTGGACTAGAGGGACCACTGGTCTGATCCAACAGGGCCTTTCTTATGTTTTTATGAAGGCCTCGGTCTCTATACCCTGC